TTGGGGAGAAACAAAGGTGGCTTCCTGCCACAGGGACTGCCCAGGTTTCGGGGCTGTGCTGATTGTACCCCCTTTCTGCTCCACGTCAGGGGGTTTAAGGTGCTGGGTGCTGGCTGCAGCCTGGCTTGGACACTTTGCAATGCTCCTGCTGGGACCAAAGGGAGGTTACTGGCAGGCGGGTCTTGTCCTCTGCTCAGGCTCAGACCGATCACCAAATTTGGGGTCAGGAAGGACTTTCCCCCTGGTCGGACTGAGTGGGGGTGGGGTTGCTTTCTTCCTTTGCTTTCCTCTGCCTGGGTCTCTAAATGCATTTGAACCCCGCTTGCAGCATCAGGACACTGCAGCCCTTATCTCCTGGCTTTACCGGGGGCAGACTCAGGGGCTCTCGGTGTTTGGAGCAATGAGCCCGGCTGTTACGCCAGGGGCCACTTGCGTAGCTTCAGGCACAGGTCGGCCCAGCAGCATCACTCCAGGGTTAGCAGGGCCACGGCTGGAAATTTAGCAACGGGGGAGCAGCGGCCGCGGTTCTGGAAATAGCTCTGGAAGCTGCCGCTGCTCCTCTGTGGCCTCTCAGATGTGGCAGCGCCACGGCTGGATCCAGCTGACGTGGGGGATGGCGCTGTGGCTGTAGCTGGCCTGCAGACCAGCCCCATGCCAGGTATCCAGCCACTCGATGGCAGCACTGAGCCCAGTTGGGGAGGACAGGCCTGCAGGGCAGGTGGGAAGATGGAAGACCTGGACTGCGCTCAGGGGAAGAGCCTGGGGTCAGAGCTTGGCTCCAGCAGCGCCACCGGGGTCTGGCGTCCTTTGCTCCCTGCCCATGGCAGCTGGAGAGCCTGTCCCCAGGACTGAGCATCGCAGCCAGACTCCCAAGAGGCAGCCGGTAGGAGAAACACCAGCCCCAAGCACCAGGGCAGCACCGTGTCAGGGCCTGCAAACAGGGGCCGCTGCATAAGGGGCCAGCCCCATGCTCTGGTCTCTCCATTGCAGCATCTCTCCCCGTCCTCACAGCCCCTCTGCACAGCTCTGAGGTCGGGAGAGCGTGCGCCATGTGCTCAGGTCCCTGCTCGCAAGCACAACGAGGCGGCTGGGCTGTTTCCAAACGACCGTTTATTAAATTAGAAAAGAAGGAGGAGGTACCAGGGACAACATGACTTTTTTTGGGGGGGGGGGGGGGGTTGTTTTTTTTATTATTTTCAAGTTTCTGCAAACGTTTGTTTCCCCCCACCCCGGGCTCCGGAGAATGATGTGAGATCGCGGGCGCTGAGCCCCGTGGCGAGTGAGAGGGAGGGTGGGGGCGGCCGTGGCAGCCTCCCTGTGAAATGTGGACAGCAGCTCTGCACTGAGGTAGCTGGGATGGAGCCGCTCCCACCCTCCATGGGTGGGTTGGGGGGCCCAGCGGCTTCCTTCTGACATGCGCCCCATTGCTCGGTGATGCTGTGGACTCAGGTGGGAGGCGGTGGCTGACAGGTGGGTGCTGGTCATGCAGGATTAAAAACACCACCTCCCTCTCCCCCAGCAGCAGCGGGACTGGGGGGCGTGTCGGGGATCAGCATGGGCTCCGGGGAGCTGCCTGCATCTACCTCGCTGCACTAGGGTGCAAAGCCCCAGGCCAGAGCTGGCCTAGGGGGGAGTGAGAGCTGTGGCTGAAGTGGGGAGGGAGGGAGGGAGGGAGTGATTTCTCTGCGCTTCCCACCTCCACCCAGGCCTGCAGGAGCTCCCACCCCCGGCCACACCAACCCCTGGCGTGTTGGGGGGACACTTCCCATTCTCCCCCTACAAACACCCCCAAGACTTGCGAGGGGACGGCGGCTCTTGCATCTCTGCAAGCCCACAGCTCCCACCCCCTGCACACTCGTGCCCCTTGCGTGTGGGGTCAGGACTGGCCTTGGCACCACTCTGCGGGTCACCACTCTGCCGCAAACGGATCCTAAATCCCCCTCCTTCAAGAGGCCCCAGCCTGCTGCCAGCCTCCAGGCATCTCTCTCCTCGCTCCACGTCCACCAGGTCCCGGGGGCTGCACTAAGGCCCCCAGGTCTGTATCCTCCTGCCAGCTTGCCCCACAGGGCAGCACGGGTCAGGGAGGGTCCATCTGACCACAGATTCACTCAGCTCCCTGCAGAATGGGCCAGGCCAGAGGCTTCCCCCCCAGACTGAGGGGAAACCTCACCTCTGGGCAGAGGGAGCAGCCCAGCTGCCTGTCCCCTGGCGGGGGAGACACCCGTGCGTCCTTGCCCCACTACCACCCCTGACCCATCCTAGCAGCTGTTGCCCAGGGGCCAGGCCTGCCATGACCGCTCCATCTCATCTATGCACCGCACCAGGCTCTGTGGGTCTCATGCTGCAATAACCAGCAATCCCTGCCCCCAGCTCCTGGCCTGCTCTGTTCAACTTGCAGCAAACACTCACTCCAAAGTCAGCAGCACCTGGCATGCCCTGCCCAGGGAGAGCCCATCCCCTCCCTGCCCCAGAGATGGTGTCCTGTGGGGACAGAGCCATAGACCCCAGCCCAGCAGCACTGTGCACACCCTTTCTCCCCACTCCCTCCGGCCTGCTCCTGCCCTGTCCTCCTGGTCTGGACTCAGCCCCAGCTGCCTAAGCATGGCCCAGACCCATCAAGACAGGGCCACTGGAGGGGCTTCTGCTCCAGCCCTTGCAGCCTCCCTGTTTCCCATAACAGGACGAAGGGCTCAGGAGCTCTGCAGGCAGCGAGGCAGGAGAGGCCCCCTCGCCCCCTGCCTTCTACTGAGACGCCTCAGCTGTGATCCCACCCTGACATCCCAGCCCTGGCTCCCTGCACCCTGGTGCTGAAGAGGCCATGCCCCATGCCCCCAGCTCCCTCCCACATGGCACTACGAGGCCCCTCTGGGACCACCTGTCTCCTTGCACCTGTGAAAGCCTGGACCCAGAGCCATCCACCATCCATGGCTGACTCCCCTGCAACAATAAATACTAATAAATACTGCACCCCAGCTCCCCGCACTGCCCCTTCCTCCCCACAGTGGAGGGTCTGGCCCAATCCGAGCCCCCCCATCCCAGCAGGGCATGGCACTGTGAGAGACCTGGGGATGTCTCCAGCACTGGCAGGTGAGGAAGGCAGCACCCTGGCAGCCGTCTGCATGCTCCCACATCACCCTGACCCCTCCGTGCTCACCACCGTGCAAAGCCCTGGGGCCAGTGGCAGCCGGAGACCACTGCCAAGGCTGGCTACCCCACAGCTCGGTGGGGCGGGGGCAAAAGCTGCAGGGCGGAGGCTGAAGAGCTGTCTCTGCTCTTGCCCTTTACTGGTCTCTACAAGGTGCTGGACACAGAAGCCTGGGCTGGCCCAGCCCCATTCAGGCCCGAGGCGAGTAGCAGGGGTTCCTTGGCATCTCAGTGAAGGATTTCAGCTCATAGGGGATGCCGGAGTCGACCTCGATGGACTTGCGGGAGAAGAGCAGTCGGATGTCGTCGTGCAGGTAGATCTTCCCCGACTTGGAGCTGTGAAACCTATGGGGAAAGACAGGTTGAACGTGCTGAACAGGAGCCAGCAGTGTGCCCTTGGTTGCCCAGAAGGCTACCGGCATCCTGGGCTGCATTGGTAGGAGCGTTGCCAGCAGATCAAGGGCGGTGATTCTTCCCCTCTGTTCAGCACTGGGGAGGCCACATCTGGAGTCCTGTGTCGTTTTGGGCCTCCCACTGTAGAAAGGATGTGGACACATTGGAGAGAATCCAGCGGAGGGCAATGAAAATGGTTGGGGGCTAGGGGACAGGACTGGTGAGGAGAGGCAAAGGGAAATGGGCTGATTGAGTCTGCAGAAGAGAAGACCGAGGGGGGTTCAATAGCAGCCTTCACCTCCCTGCAGGGGGGCTGCAAAGAGGATGGAGCTGGGCTGTTCTCAGTGTGGGCAGATGGCAGGACAAGGAGCAATGGGCTCAAGCTGAAGCAAGG